AGTACTTAAAAGTCTAGCTTATGATGTGGAATCTTCGTTCGGTCACTAGGAGAGTGCAAAGTAAAACGCAGCTGCACTGAACTTTCGCGTCAGCCGTGGACGTATGAGGTCCCTCAGCGCCTACGCCTATGCATTGTTATGAAAATGCTCCAGTTAAACAGAAGATGGGCAGAAACCCTCTGCATGCCTGCGCAGAGCATGAAACTACTCCATCTAAGGAGCCATTCTTCGAGGTCAGATATGGTGCACTTCTGTATGATAGTCGCGACCCTCAAAAGTGGGCAAAGGCTTTTTTGGATTCATGACAAACCAAAAAGAAGGTAGGAAGGAGTAAAGCAAAATCGCCTTCATTGAACTGGCCTGCTTTTCATGTGAAAGAGTGCGCTGAAGCGGTTGCCAGGTCGGTATCCCCAGACGGCGACCGCCTATTTTTGTAGCTCTGCAATCGGCCCGTTGGTCCGTCATGAAAGTTTCGAGAACACCAGTCAATCAGTAATATGAGATGTATTCACACTATTTCATTTAAGATCATGAAGGACTAGTAGTAGAATTTTCCCACAATCATATGAGTAGAGCTGACGAGTCAAACTCACGTTCTGCACTGTCACGGTTCGACTCCCGCTGGGTGTGTTGCTAGAACTATGAGAGGTTTAAACTGCACTCCACTCCAGCTGGGATAAGAAAACCTTTTGGAAAGCAAGACTATGTGCATTTGAATAGAACCGTCAGCTCTACTCACATCAATGTGGGAAAATTCTATAACCAGCGAAATAGGTTGAATATTCCTCATGAAAGGCATTGTCAGAGATGAAGCTCATTCTCACAGAAGCCTCGAGTGATCCGTAAGTCAAAAGAGCTAGTTAATTCTACCCTGCATTCCTTGTATCATCACTAGAAGAACAAGGATTTATATATATATATATATGTATGCACGCATGCATGCATGTACAAATGTATGTATGTATGTATGTATGTATGTATGTATGTATGTATGTATGTATGTATGTATGTATGTATG